GGGGCTCAGTGGGCAGCACCAAGTGGGAGTATCCTATGGGACAGATGCTTCGTCCGGTGGAGATGCAGGCACATTAGTCCCGGATGAGAACTGCTGCTGCTGACCACTTGGCCAAGTGTCCGCACAAGGCCAAGAGGAAATCCGTTTAGAAGGGTCCCATCTGAGTTGCCAATTTGGTTCTGAACTCAAGGGGTTCACCACTTGGGGTGCTCTATTAAAAAATGAGATGGCCCGGCTGGGTGGCTCACCAGTTGAACATCAACCCAGGAACCAAGAGGTCACTGGTTCAATTCCTGGCCAGGGCACATGCCTGGGTTGCTGGCTTGGTCCCCCGTGGGGGTCGTGCAGGAGGCAGCTGGTCCATGATTTTCTCTCTCAACATTGATGTTTCTATCTCTCTCTCCCTTCATCTCTGAAATCAATATATATTAAAAGAAAATAAGAAGAACAAGGTGAGTAGAATATAAGATATTTTGAGGGAGAAGAGACAGACCACATTTACATAGCTTTTATTATAGGTTATTATGGTTGTTGTATTTTATTAAGTTATTGTTGTTAATCACTGTGCCTAATTTACAAGTTAAACTTTGTCATATGTCTGTATGTGCAGGAAAACACAGCATGATAGGGCTTGGTTCTCTCGGGGTTTCAGGCATCCACTGGGGGTCTTGGCATGTGTACCCACTGAATAGGGGGGCGACTGTACTTATAAGACGCTCTAACTTTATCATCCCCGGCCCCCTTAGAACAAGGATGCTCAGTATGGAAGGAAGGAGATGCGGATGAGGCACAGAAGGTAAGTAAAAGCCTGTGCCCTGAGTTTGAATGGGAACTATCAGTCTGAACTAGTGAGGTTTTCCATCAAGTAAATGCACACACACATGCCCCGGGTTGTGGGCTGGGCCCCCAGTAGTGGGTGTGCAGGAGGCAGCCTACTGATGCTTCGCTCTCACATCAATGTCTCTCTCTCTCAAAATCAGTAAAAAAATTTTTACAAAATGGATAGCTGGAAGGAGGCTTGACTTGGGGTGGTGAATACACAACACAATATACAGATGATGTATTATAGAACTGCACCCCTGAAACCCAAATAATTGTGTTAACCAATGTCACCTCAATAAATTCCATTTTAAACATGGACACAACTAATAATTAAGAAATTCACTATCACAGGGAAAGTTTAACATTCTTTTCTCAGTAACTGATGGACTAAGAAGACACACATGAAAAACAAAAGAACCAGTAAAGAGATGGAAGATTTGAATCCTACAATCATAACCCCGATTTACACTCAATAATTAGAGAACGCACAATCCTTTCCAGCCCACAGAAGACTTAAGGAAATGTGTTCATGTCCTAATCTATAAAACAGCCCCAATAAATTAAACATGTAACAAAAAGCTGGAACTGGGTGCGGCGGCCTCAGCGGCCGGTGCTGGATGGAAGCCTAGCCCACGGGTGAGGTGACTTGTCTCCGGTCACACGGGTGAGGGAGCCGAGAGGCTGGGGTGCCTTCAGCCACCGCCGAGGCCGAGATTCCCACGGAGCCGGCCACCTCCCCCGCTGGGACCGCTGCACGGGCACCACCGGATCCGGCCTGGGGAGGCCGAGGAGGGTTCGGGAAGGACCAGGGAGGAGGGCTCCCAAGCAGGTGCCCAGGCACCAGGCACCCTCAGTCCTCCCTGCCCGGGAGGGGCACCTCCCAGACCCGGACCAGCCCCCCAGATCTGAGCTGCAGCCCCCCACAAACTGCTGCATGAGCGGCTGCCCCAACTGCGTGTGGGTGGACATGCAGACGGGCGCATGCAGCTCTACCAGGCCGGTGGGCCCCGGCCACCCTGCAGGAGCCCGCGGCGGACAGAACCTCAGGCCTCCCTGGGATGGAGATCCGGCTCCGTCCGGCATGAGGAGCAGAGGCCGAGGGGGTCTGGCCGACAGCTGACAGCTCACCCCACGGGGAGCCCCGAGCTCCTGCCCAGGCAGCACGGGGTCGCCTCTCTCCCGGCCCCTGCGTGGGGCTTGCCTCAGGTGGGAGTGGGAAGGGTTCTTTATTGACATCACCTGGAAATAAATACGCTCTCTGTGCGGCTGAGAAAAAAACAACACAAAAAACCAAAGTAGTATTAGCCCGGCCAGGCGGCTCAGTGGTTGAGCGTTGACCTATGAGCCAGGAGGTCAGGGTTTGATTCCTGGTCAGGGCACATGCCCGGGTGGCACATCCCCAGTGTGGGCGTTCAGGAGGCAGCTGATGGCTGATTCTCTCTCATCATTGATGTTTCTATCTCTCTCCCTTCCTTTCTGAAATCAATAAAAATAGATTAAAAAAAAATTTTTTTTTAAAGAAAATGTTTTCATAGGAAATGAACATTAATTTACATCTCCCATCATTTCATTTAAAAAGGGGATCTTTTGCTCTAGCCGGTTTAGCTCAGTGGATAGAACATCGGACTGAAGGGTCCCAGGTTCAATTCCCGCCAAGGGCACATGCCTGGGTTGTAGGCTCGATTCCCAGTGCGGGGTGTGCAGGAGGCAGCCGATCAATAATTCTCTCTCATCACTGATGCTTCTATCTCTCCCTCCCTCTTCCTTCCTCTCTGAAATCAATAAAGAAATATATTTACAAAGAAAATTAAGAAAGGAATTTTTAACTCAAAATAGAAATAAAAAGGCATAATCTTAAAAAGCAATCATTTAAATCAAACATATTCATCTTAATGAAAGACTACGTTGTGCTTCTCTTTTTACTGTAAACTACTGATAACGACCCTTCGTTGGTCTTAAGAAGCAATGGAAAACCTGTATTCTTCAAGCACAGTTGCAACTGCTTAAATGTAATGGTGAAAAGAAACTGCTTTAAAACATGACCACAGCTCGGGAGTAGCAGGTGTGCCCAGACTGCTTCAGATCCCACAGTTGCAGGCTGCCTGGTCAAACTAACCCTAACAGCCCCAAACATTACCTTGCAATGACTTTCCCCTCTTCCCTCTAAAAAACAAACAGGATTAACACATTTCACCTGTTGTCTATTGAGTTTAGGTAATACTAAGATCTGTGAGCCTTTCCTCTAGGACAGCGGTTCTTGACCCAAAGGGGTCGAACGACCCTTTCACAGGGGTCGCCTAAGACAATCAGAAAACACATATATGATTACATATTGTTTTTGTGATTAATCACTATGCTTTAATTATGTTCAGTTTGTCACAATGAAAATGCATCCTGCATATCAGCTATTTACATGACGATTCGTAACAGTAGCAAAATTACAGCTATGAAGTAGCAACGAAAATAATGTTATGGTTGGGGGTCACCACAACATGAGGAACTGTATTAAAGGGTTGTGGCATTAGGAAGGTTGAGAACTACTGCTCTAGGAGATAGGTTAAATATTACAAAAAAGAAAATGTATGAATAGTGTCCAAATCCCTGCGGAAAATCTGTCCAAAAATTGTGCTTGTTTTTCTGATGTTTCTATCTAAAAAATAAAGAGGACATCAGTCCTGCCTCAAATGAGGTCGCGGAGTTTATAACTGGACATCAAGATGGCTCCAAGGGAAGGGAAAGCGAGTCACACGCCCTTGCCTTTGAAGCGTACGCCTTGCTCCTGTAACAGGGCTTAGTGTTGTCGGCACCCGAGGAAGTAGGCGTCTGAAATCACTACAGATTCTCAGAACACTGTTTATCCCAGACAAAAAATAATAGGAGACGATTTGGGGGTTTTGTCCATCAGTGTGCTGATGGTCTGGCTTAATCCAAGTAAAAACTAGGTCTCTATCACAGAAAGAAGTCATTCCTGACTTGGCAATGGTCTAAAACACACTTTAGGATAAACCTGGCACTGAATGAAAAAGAAGGCATTTTTAATTTTTTTTTTAAAAAGTGTCTTCATAGGAAATGAAGGTTAATGTACATCTCCCATCATTTCATTTAAAAGGGGGATCTTTTAACTCAAAATAGAAAATAAGGCTCATTCTTCATTGGCAACAAGCTACGAGAAACATGAGGTCCAGACTTACTTATCGGTAGGTTCGCCTTTGGCTAGTTTTTCAGCACAAGCAATAGCACCTTTGTGAAGCCAGCAATACGTATCCACGGCCACCACCTGCCCCTTGTACTTCCTCACGTGGATCGGCTCGGAGGCGTCTTTGAGAAACTGCAGTAATCCTTGTATCCCCATCTTGCCAAGTGAACTACATGACGTGAAAGGAGGAGGGGAAAACAGCACTATTCAAACAGACATTTACCCAAACGTTTTAGGAAAATAAAAACAAGAGAAAGAGTCTGGAAACCAATAAGGAGCTGTTACTATTCACATATTTGAGAATCAATGTTCTCAAATATTTTCACTGGGCTCCTCCCTGTCAAACAATTTCCATAGTCTAGAATTTTCTTTCCAAAGTGCTTTCCCACATGAAATCATGATGTGTGCTCCAAGCCCTTAACACAGTACTAGACACATGGGAGGTATTGAAGAGGTATGAGTCTCTCTTCTCTAAAAATGCATTGCTGCCCGGCAGGCGTGGCTCAGTGGTTGAGAGTGGATCTATGAACCAGGTGGTC